ACAGTGGGATTATGAGATCCATTTGCCACAGTCTCACGGGCACGCTGATTCTGTGAGTTGTTTGCAGGGGCATTAGACTGTCCTTGGTTGGAACTCGATCCATGGGTAGAGTAGACTTCACCCATAATGACCAATTAGTGCAATGTAGAACAGGATAGCAGGTCTACAATGAAAAATATTACCTATTAAGGTAAAAAATAAGGACAACGAAGATACTACCGTTATGATGGTCGACTAAAATACAAGGTGATGGGCTACTGGGAAAGGTGAACTGTATCAAAATGTTGCAGTGCCATGAATAAGCCGGAGGCAGAACGAATGCATTGACGTTTGAGCTAAAGCGCATGATCACTCAGTCTGGTCACGTGACTCATGTGGTGAAAGAGCAGAGAACTGGATGAGATGGAGTAGTTCTTGTCTGTAACGTCGTATATGTACACACCCAAGTGCAAAGTGCTTGTTCAAGACTGACAGGAGCCTGCACTTACCCTCCGTGGTGATCAGCTAGTAGTTGAGAACTTTAATTACCTCGGGAGAATGATGGCAATTGGTGTTGAGATCAACCTCCATAGATTACGTTGTTTGGGGCATGTGTTACGCATGTCACCACATAGATGGCCACGACGATCGATATTTGCCGAGGCAGGTATTAGGTGGAAAAAAGCCAAGGGTGATCAAGCTAAGACCTGGCACGAGGGTATGAGATTCCCAACCAGGACACTGGGTCACATATGTCCCGTTAGGCTCCCTAGATGGGGACTTCGGGATGATCGTAACCCATGGTTACAGACCCTGAGTGATATGGCTATGTCGTAAACAGTGGCGTTCGAGCAACTTCTCAATTTCTTTGCAACCTTAGATCACTGAAATTCTCCAGTTTCTGTTTGTCTCTACCTTCAAACCTCCTGTCTTTTTCCTATTCTTCATCCCAATGGACAGCAACCAAAACCGGCGTAGTAAAGTGCATGGTTAATGCTTGTACAAACTGAAACTAATTATCTAACTGATTCAGTGGAACCTGGAAGAGAACCTATGATCTGGGACGCAGGACCACAAAATAACCTATGAACAAAAAAGGAGTGGGATTATTGGGCTTAGCCTCACACCTGTGCGAAACTTCGAGTTCAGGAAACCAAAACCGTCGTACGAGTCCAAGGTTATTGGATGTGAAACTAGGACGAAATGAACCCGTAGGTTTTGTTTAACACTACACGCTTTTATATTTTCCTCCTGTTATTAATAGCTGATAATGGATTCAGGCATGCTGGTACATTTAAAGCAACATGCTGTAGATTATCATCATCGTGGAGATATAGTGAGGTGAGCTTCGCTGATCGCTGTCAAACGCAGTGTACACAAAGTAACTAAGAATGTACTACATGGACAGAGATTGAGTCCAGTTGGGGCGAAGAGAAGTGAACCTCTTTTTGTGTGGTGAACAGCAGTCAGGGCGGACCCCATAGCCACGAAGACCTGCTGTTCAGTGATGGTAACCGGTAACCGAAGCCCCAGGGCTTGGAGTAAAGAACCACATAAGGCCCCGCTAGGTTAGGCGTGATATTCAACCGGAAGAAAGCAAAGCTGCCTACTATCGACGATGGGTA